TAAACGACACATTATAAAACGACTCGGGTATATTTTAATTAACCTATCTATAGGTAATTTATAAAACGTGGTATATCTATTTACATTTTCAGAAACCTCAATTAATTCAAATTCTGTGTATTAAATAGAAATAAATTGAATGATTTTATTGGATATAATAGTTTTTCTTTAAAAAAAAAAAGTATCGCTGGATTCCAAAAAAAAGCCTAAAGTGAATTTGTTATTATTTGTGTTATGATTTAATAAATAAAAAAAATAATTGCTCAAGTTTATGACTCAAAGAGCACAAAAATATAAAGAATCTTTTATTTTATTTTTAAAAATGCCTTTTATAGTTTTATTGACCACATTTAATAATAAAAATTACTATAAGAATAACTATAAATCACATTCAAATTGTTATTAAACTACAATTAAAACGAAAATTAAATTAACTATTACAAATTTAAAATTTTTTCGAAATGTATCAAATTATCAGGAAACTTGAGTCAACGGAATATATTAAATAGATACAATTCTTAAATCACGATCAGGGGAATTAAAATATTTAATTGTAATCTCTTTCATATTATACATTCTTTAATTTAAATACAACAATATTTATATTTTCTTATTATACGAATAAAAAAAAAAAAGGTCAACAATGATAAAACATAACTGATTTAAAATCTAGTATATTCAAGTGTTAATCATTCGTGTTAATTCATTCGTGCATAAACGAATATCAATTACAAACTAATGTATTTGCATTAGATAAATTACAAAACTATTATTTCACACTCTGAAAAAAAGGAAAAATGTTTTTCCGCGGTATATTGAAAAAATATTCTTCGTAATATCATTATAATATAAAACGAGATATTTATGCAATCACGCAGCAGCAAATTTTTCAATTAAAGATTTGATATAACATCATATACCTACTGCATAAACATGTTTTATTACAGAAAATAAAGATGCGGACTATGTGGAAAAATGTCTTTAACAAACTTGGAATATGAAACATCATACATATACATTACTTCTTACAAGGTCATTAGAATATATATATTGTAGCGATTTTTCAATAAATATATCCGGAAGTATACTAGTATATACTGACATAAAATGTATGCTTAATACTAGACATGAAATTTCATGACAATTTATTTTATTGCTACGAGTTAAAAATATATATTGCTTTTTATACGATCAAAAATGTATTAACTTTAACATCTTAACATACTGAATTATAAACTCAATAATGACGTACAATTTCTAAAAATACTATTTCCCTAGTAAATATCTCATTATAAATGAAAACTAAAGAAAAATATTTGCAATATCATGGTAAAATAGATTATTGTATTATTATAAAAAATCAAAATATATAAAACCACTGTTAAAAAAAACATAGTTTGAGATATGAAAAGTATAACAGTATTAAAACATTTTATATTCGGAATAATATGTACTGAGCAAGAAATAAATTATTTAACATTTAAGCTTTCAATTTATAAAAATATACAACTGTAAAAGATTAAATGAAAATCACTGAACAATATCAAGGCTTACAGCCACTATACTTTTCTTTTTCGTTCCTTTGTGTTCATTGACATTCACATGTTATGAAATCATTCACGAATTCGCTCTCCTTTTTCTTATACGTCAATGACACAACTTTCAAACAAAGTCATTACTTGAAATTCATAAGATATATAAAAAAAAAACTTAAACAACATAATAACCAAAAAGAGAATGGCATTTTATATTAATCTAAATGTACATATAAGACCAAAAGTAATTTTACAGAATAAGTTTTTAATGATATTTATTATCCAATAAAAATAAAAGACTAGTAAGATACTTAAACACTGATAAATTTTAAGTGCAAGTCTCTTGTTGTGGTAGTTTTTATAGTGAAAATAACGATCATACCAATCGAAAAAACGATTTTTAGCAAAATATGTATTATACCTATGTAAATTACCTTAATTTGTAAATATTCATGAAAACATTTACTAACTAACAATATAATATAGTTTTCTCTATCATATTATAAGAAAATGAAAACAAAAATCACTATAAAAATTAACAATCTATTATTCTAAAAATTGGCTGTAAAAATTTAGGTAAAAACTGAACCAAAAGTATAAAAAATTAAAAAGTAATATTCTAAAAATAATATTAATTATTTTTAAACTTTTAATCTATATGTGTAATTTCAATTAAAGCAAATATATCTATTAATTTTAACAATTAGACAAGATACCTACAAAACAAAATATAAGCTATTATTCATTTTTCTTGTCAACTGTTTTATCTATGTATAAAATATCATTTACACAATAAAATGTACCACGTTAAAGCCTTTGAAGGCTGTTTCTCAAAATTGGCTATTATATTTTAGAATAGTATTGTTCAGGCAAATATGACTTTGTTTAGACGTAATACTTGATCGAAAGAGACCAATAACCTTGTACAAAAATGCTCATTTGTCAATGTCTATTTTTATCACTTTCACTAGGAAATTGTTTTATCATGGTTTATATATATATTAACTATAATCAACATGCGTTTTATTTTATAACTCGCAACTAATTCAAAAAATAAAAATAAAAAAAAATCTTTAAACAAAATTATATTATTGGTAAATAAGACGACAACATAACACAACATAACTTTTAAATAAACTTAAAAAATAATACCTAATTATTGTAATTTAAAACCCAAGTGTTTATCTATAAATAATTAGAACATTAACATGTTATTTTTTGTACCATACAGCTATAAAGCCGAAGTTTTTTCACGAATCTAACTCAGGAAAATGTTGGAATACATGAATAATTTACACATATGTAATTGGTTTTAATACATAGTCTTGTTAAAAATTGTTCACTACAATGTATATATACATATATATATTATATTTTTCATAAACACTTGACAAACTTATGACTCAATCATAAAGTTTATATTTTACCAGGTAAAAATATATATAGAAAAACAATTCAATACAGTATTGTGTTTATTAGTATACAATAGTCATGAATGAATTGTAATTAACTCGTTATGTTATGTTGTAAATTCTACATTACTTATAAACAAATACACAATGTTACCATAAGGTCATTTAGGTATTTTGATATATAATAATAAGCACCTAATTAGTTTATATTAATAGAATAAATTGTAATAAATGGTTAAATGGTCTAAAAAATTTTAAATAGAAATATATTGAACTAGAATTAATCAGACAACTATAATTAGATAATTCTATAAATTATTTCTATAATATGTAATAAGAATTTGAGTTTATTAATTTACTTGGCCTTGGACAAAAATAAATTTCTTTTTTCTTCTATAAATTAATAAAAACAGGTAAGCAAATTTTTAAACAAATTTATGACATGTATAACATGATTTCAACTTATATCAATAAACAAAATAATGAATCAAACAAAATACAATAATAACAAGTTTTGTGGTTTTAAAGCCACAATAAATGTAGATTCAGTGTAAGTAAAAATATTATTACAAAAATAAATATAATAGGTCACATTCTTGCGGTAACACAGCATAAATAAAGCAAGCTTACCTATGCAATATTTTATCCTTAAAAATTATATTACTATATAACCTTCATGATAACAGGTTGTCCAAGTTATTTCAAACTAGGACTCATATTAAGTTAGTATTACAAATGTAGTTTGGTAAATACAAATAGCATAAAATTAATTAATTACATTTTTGACATTTTATCTAATAAAAATTGACAATCACAGATCCTCAAATCATGATAGTAAAAAACAATTAATATTTATGATAATTTAAATGTTTCATTTTAAAATTGAAATATTACCTAGCACTTAAGTAAGCAAAATTTAGGTCATACATAGTTGACTTCATAAAAAGCAAAGGTGCTAATGACAAGTTTATAACATAAATTTAAATTGTTGTGTATTTCAACCATTAGTTTTAACTATTTTGACAATTTATAACTGGGAGATAAAAATTCCATAAATAAATTAACTCATAAAATAAAAAGTTCATTAAATTGAATCTTTTACCTATTTCAGTAATTTATTTGGTTTTGGAAGCAAAATAAATGTATTTATTAAATTAAATACTATAAAATATCTAACAAAATAAAATAATGCATTTATATTATTCAAATAAAATAATAATTACTATCTAGAACTTCAATCATACTTTGCAACATTTTCAAGTAAACGCAGTTACTTCTGTTATATAAAAAATGGTCATAGCTATTAATACCTTCATAGTAAATTTTTATATGTGTGTTCTGCCTATAAATACTTATAATTATTATTAAAAATCATTAGCATACTTGCAGGTGCACCAGGATTAAAATATTTAGTTTTTTGTTTTGCTAATAGTCAACTAACTAAATCAGAAATATCTTCAACTTATGGATAAAATATTATTATTATAAATATTTTTTTTAACAGTAAGCAAGAGCATATACTTAACTAGAACCCAAATATTGGGAATGCTGAAATTACTGAAAATAAAATTGATGATATTTTACCGTAATTTTTATAGATTGACAACAAAAAGCCAAGGATAATAAATTTGAACTCAGGGATACTAAAGACCCTCTTGCGCCTATAAGGAGTAAGTTCATTAATTTAACTTGGTATACAAACAGTACATAGGTAGATTAGAGACATGAGATATTCAAGAAAAACAATAAATTGTGGTTCCTCTATATTTATATTTTTACTTCCAATGTAAAGCCCGAATTCAATCGAATCGTGTAAAAACAATAACAAAACATTAGATGTATTAAAATTCCCAGGTGGGGATTTGATATATTTCAGCTCCTAATTAGAGTCGGATATTAAATTCAAATTTAGTAATTTCCGATGGTTTTTACAACTACTTACCCCCGCGATCCTATCACCGGATATGACCATTATAGGATTGTCTGGCGATTGAATGGAGAAAAAATAGAAAAACAAGAAAGTAAAAAAAAAAATAAAAAATCGTTTAGTTACTTTATTCAGTCGTCCGTCCCTAAGATGATCGAGTCCGCTGACGAGGGCCGGTGAAACGGGCAGGGCTGATCCCTGAGGGAACTGTCCCAATCGGTCGAACGAAGCCATGGCGGATGACGGTTGAGAACTCTTAGATATCGAAAAACCCAGGATGAGCGAGACGTCGGCAGTGGTGATCTAAGAGTCGGGGTTGTTAGGACGGACTCAACGGTGTGCTGCAACAGACGGTGTACAACTGATGCGTGCCGGCGGAACGAGCGTCGGCAGTCGATTGAACGAATGTGTGGCGGCGGCGTCGACGAGCAACGTGAACAGCGTCACACGATAGCGGTGAAAGGAAAAACACGCACCTTGCCGGCGCGATAATCCCCACCGCTCGTCCGCCGTGTCACTTTCCGCCCCAAATACCCCCACCAAAACCCTACCGAAGGCACTACAACACCGGCCGCGAACTGGATCGTCACGCGTGATCCATCGTACCTACCCCACCGAGACCTTTTAACACGCGTGCGTACGAAAAATCATTACGGTGACGTCACTACTGTCGCCGCCGCCGTTACTAACGAGCAAACGGTACGGGTCGACCGACGACGGTGACGCGAACCAGTGGCGGCCTGGCCTGGCCCTTCTAATGATGCTTTTAGAATATTTTACTTCTTTTTTCGAATTTCAGAAAAAAAAGGTTTTTTTTTTTTTAGAAATCATAATAACTAATGTAAATTATAAAGGATTGTCGTAATATTAAAATAACGTTTTTTTTAAACATGTTTGAGGTAAAGTCTTTACCAAGAGAAGAACAATAGAAATTGGGAAAAAAAAGTTTAGAAAGTCTACTGATCTAAAAAAACCTAATGAGTTAGTATTTTGACGGTGTAGCAAATAGTGGTGGGCGTATACGGATTATTCAATTCAACTTTGCTGTTCAATGACTCATTTTTATTTTCACATCAATTTAATTAAGGATATGCAGTAAAGATAAGTTAATTGGGTGTTCAGTTATGATATCACTGTAAGTCATATAGGTATAAAATAAACTCAAAAATGTAACGACTTATATTGTTAACTTATAATAAATTATAAAATTTATTGAAGTCATGATAAGTATACTGTAATTCATAAAAAAATAATATTAATTTGTTATTAAATTTTAATTTTAATAAATAATTGTATTTATTTTACTAAAAATTCAAAATAATTATAAGTTACGTAAAAAGCAAATCCATAAATCTAGATACTACGGCAAATCCGGATAAGGATTTTATTTCAGTGTATTCGGAAAATTCAAATCTTCGGATTTCATGTCCATCTCTAGGAGCAAATATGAGTGGGTAGTACTCTGGATTGCAGGCTCATTTGAAAATAATTTCTCCTAAGTTAATTTGTACACACTATTGCAATAATATATGTTCGTAAACACATGACGCATGTTAGTCACCGAAAAAATAATAAGGAGCAAATTAAAAAAGACTAATCAATAATAAATGTTGTTACGTACACATTAATTATTAAATTACTTAGTACATTAAAATATATATAATTTTAAGAATAACATGTATATAAAAATACAACAATAAATATCATTGTATTATACTTAATTAATAAAAAACATAATGGTGGAAACTCACAATAACTGAACAACAATTGGAGATATATAAAAAGGTAAGAGAAATGCTCTATAAAACACTTCTCGGACAATCTTCACTAACAGTGTTGTTGTGTCGTGCGTCTCCATCAAGCATTTATAAAAATCATAAGAAAAATATTGCAAATTTATTGCTTTGCATGCAATATTTCATTCGTTTACTGGGGAAAATAATAAGAGGAACCAACAGATATTTATGTTTATTATAAGCAGGGCTCATAACTTATAGCTCTAAAAAAGTTGTTATGAGCGCTTAAATATGCACTAAAAAATACTAAAATATGCAAAAAAAAAGTTTGTATACAAAAATTATTATTTTATTATTATTTATTATATTATTTTATTATTATAGCTTCTATTATTGAAAAAAAAAATTATACTATATTATTACATCGGAATGACTGTACTTTATTGTACCATGTACAACTCGTGGTACTCATTTATTCTGCAATTGTTCTGTTAAAATAAATTATAAATTTATAATTATATATTTTTTAAATATATTTAATCATATATTCACCTTGAAAGTTACATTGAATAATCAGATGTTTGTACAAGTTTTCAAAGTGAAATGATCTTCGATTGTTACTGAGTAGTGTCTTGTACATTGAAAACGATCGCTCGATGTCCACTGACGTAATTGGGGCAAACTTAAAGTATACGAGATCATCTGTTGAGAAGTCCTCAGGAAGTCCTAGTTCAAGTTCTGTGTTCATATTAATATCAGATAATACATTTGAAATATTTTTTAAAACTTTAAGATCGACATTTTTGTGGGTGACAATATTGAGTTTATTAAAAATAGCTTTTCCAATTGGTCCTTGAAGAGTTTGAAATGCTTTTTCAACATTTTCAATTACATTTATAGCTTCAACTAATGGTAGTCTTTGTTCTTGTAACTTGGTAATAGAAACTGTTAAAATTGTAAAATTGAACTTTATGTAGGCTAATTCTCTTTCAATTCCAGTTTTGGAAATATATTTTTTAGCCTCTTTGATGCTAACGGCATCATCGTCGTCTAGTTTTTCAAGAATTTTACGTATGATTTCAATGTTTTCACAATAGTAATTTGAGGCTATAATCCACGTATTCCAACGTGTAATAATAGGCTTCGGTGGCAATTGTAAATGAAGAGCTTCATCTTTGAACAGTTGAACACGGTTTGGTGCTTTTCGGAATATTTTTTAACACTAGAAATAAGTTTGTCGACATTGCTAATCTTGCCTCTTATTTCCTCTGCTACTCGGTAGAGTCCATGAACCGTACACGTGATATGAATTATTTTGGGATAAAATACTTTCAATGTATTACCAGCTTTTATCATATAGGGAACGACGTCGGATGTAAAAAATAAAACAACCTCATGTTGAATACCAATGATTTCAATAGATTTGTCGAATACTCTGGAAATTTTCGAATAATTTGTTTTTTCTAGTTGTTCTGAATGTACCAAATATTGTTTACCCGGGTAATCTGCTTCAAGTATACCAACAATTACATTAGCAATAAATCTACCTTCTACGAGTATATCGGCAGTTTCGTCAATACTAACCCAAACTTTTTTACCAGACAGTTCAAGTTTAATTTTACTCATTGTTTCGCCAAAAATGTCATCTATGTATCCAAGTCTCAAGTTTGTTTACGTAGGAACATTATTTCCGGTATAAACTTCCAAAAATGTACGAAAGTTTTGATTTGAAACTTTATTCAATGGTATATTTGCGAGTAACAACGCAAAACACAAGTCTTTACTGAACGACGACTTTTTGGTAGAGTTGGTAACTAATTTTTGTTTTTTTTTCAGCTTGGATTTCTCCATGTTTAACGGCTTTAATATGTTTGTCGGTTTATAAATGTTGTGCAATATTAAATTTTTTTTTCATAGTTAATTTTAATATTACAAAACTTCAAGTAATACACTTGTGTCGGCTGCAAACGTATTTTCACCAAATTCGCGAACAATATTTTCAAGACGACTAGAAACAGATTGTTTTTCTTTAGGCATGGTAAAAATATATAAACGTACAAAACTACAAAATTTAGATACTGAATCCACGAAACGAAATACAGTACGAAAAATCGGAAACTACTGCAAAATATTAATGAAAAATAATTGTAAATAATCTGAGAACGATGATATCGGAAAACCCGAAATTATAATGGTTTCCTTATCGATGGGATTACGAAGTTTCGGGCGTACACTCTCGCTACGTCACACATCGCCTAAACTCGTATACAGTGACGCACACTGGAGGGTTCAAGGGTAGCAGCTGCTACCCCTGAAAAATTGGGTGGGTGGGTGGTCCTCCTGGCCCCAGGATTGTCAGGATACACAAGACCAGTTAAAAGATGTTTCTTTCACCAAGCTGCCTTTAAATGGATGCAGTTTATCTACTGTATTGAAGGTAGTTAAAATAAGTGGGTTGCAGTCTGTATTTCCTGTCTTAAGTATAGCTTTGAAAATTGCTATAACATTACCGGTTGCTAGTTCTACACCCGAAAGAACGTTTTCTAAATTGACAATTATTAAAAACAAACTTCGTAGTAACATGTGTGAAAGTCGATTAGAAAATTTAATGTTACTATCATGTGAAAATGATATTAAAATTGACACAGATACTGTAATTAATACATTTGCAAATAATAGTAGCTTATTGCAAAAGGTTTTATTATATTAATTTAAGTTTGATGTTTACTCCAAGTGTGCATAATTATTAAGACTTACAATAATCAATAAAAACTAATAGCTACCGAGAACCTGTATTTTATTTTATTAACATTCAATACTTTATTATTAAATCTTGAACAAGTTTAGAGAATTCTAGTTAGGGGGATGTGGGAGCGAAGCCCCCGCGGGTCTGTTTTTGAAAGTGATTTAGTGGGTGGGTGTTATTTTTCCATTCAATATGCTACCCCTATTCATTTTTGAGTGTGCGCCACTGCTCGTATAGATATACTCGTATATAGTTTCTTCTGATATTATTAGATAAGTTATATAAGAAGAAAAATTAATTAACACGAATTAATTATTAATATAAACAATTAATATGACTATAATTGCTTGTTATTTTTAAAAAAAAATTTTTTAGACTACTAAAATTTTTTTTAAAAAAATTAATGATAAAAATCATGCAAAAATCCAAAAATAAGCAAAAAAAAAGCGAAAAAAAGCAAAATAGCACTTATACTGCAAAGTATGCAAAAATACGCAACATAAAATTTCGTATGTAGTTTCTTGGTTATCTGAAACAAATTTATAACTTACATATTAACCTCTAGGACCTCTCAAAAAAAAAAAAAAAAAAATGCTAGAAGTTATGAGCCTTGATTATAAGTATCTATCGGTTTTGATAGTGCCCTAGTGTGCCCAAGCTACAGCTAGCGCAAACGATGTGAAAACATTACCTAACGCGCCGTGGTCTTTGGCTTTTGAAACCGATCGATTTATGGGGTAAAATACCTCAGCTTGCTTAAACCGACAAATATTGAACATTATTGTAGTTCGACGTGAATTCACACGTTGTTGTTAATCCGATTGGAACCGTTTCCGCTTTCCGGTGAAGCAAGTGCCGAACAAAAACTTATCGATTATAACAGGGCGACAAAGTTACCGCATTAATGACTGGAATATTAAAAATATATTTGTTAAATAACTGCGAGTTAAGATTCACGTGAGGCTCCACAATATGGTGATA